AAACAATAAAAACCATAAATTCTTTATGCACAATCTGTTATGAACTACTTTCATTTGGGAGAAGCACGTGCAAATTCTCTGGTGGAATGGCTAAAAGTCAAAAAAAAGTCATATCCAGCTGGTCTTAACTTAAACTTAAGACTCTCAGACCTCCTTTGGGAAGATTCTGCAAAACTACTTTTTTCAAAAGAAAATTGTATTGCCAAAAAGTTAATTATAATAAATATATATTATATAATAATAATATATATATAATAAAAATATAAATAAAATGTCCTTAAAGCACATTGCTATATAAGCAAATTTAAAACTTAAAATGCACAAAGGCAACAACAGTTACAGAACAATTGCCACAAGCAGTTGAGCTCTTTTTTCACAGAAACCAGCACCCGAGCAGCTGGCTAGAGGACAAAATTCAGTGTAAAAGCTGCATATCCAGAATTTCTCAGGAATTTCTTCAATCCCCCAGATCTCTGCACTGAGGGTCCTCACCCCCTTATCAATATTTAGGGATGTTGTTGGTCCTGGCAAAGAACCCTATGGCACTACGGAGCGTGGCAAGTAAATGTGAACAACCACTGTCAGAAATATTTTGAACCCTTCACATACAGACAGTGACTAAAACTACCAAACCTGTTGTGATCAGGCCCCATTTCAGTGTATTTATATTCTTCCTGGATCTTCTCCTTTTGGAAAAACTGGTTCAGACGTGCCTTGGCATTTTCCAAGGTCCAACCCCCATGAAGATCTGTATTTAAGTCCACTTCTGACTCTGGGGTCTAATATGGAAAAAAGAGTATCATTTACCACTTTAAAGATTAAGTAATTCATCTGTATGCTATAAAATAATTAAGACATCACAGAAAATGCTAAAAAGTCCTCAGTAATTCTTTATTTTCAGAATAAAATGTCTATACAAAGTCCTGGATGTTCAGACTATCCAGAGTGATTTATGTGTCCCTACCTTAAAAAAATTAACTTTATTAAAAGTCAACAAATAAATCTGCAGCTTAAACTAACAGCAAAATACCAAAAGAAAACTGCAACCTTGATTATAAATGCAAACAACAAATTAAAGAGGATGAAAGATACCTATTTAAGAACTAAAGGAGAATTCCTCTGCATGACTTACCTCGTGCACTTCTTGCTCCTCTTTTCTGGAATAATAATCTTGCAAGTTTGCACCCCGATCCCATTGAGCTCCATGACTGCCACAGCTTCCAGGTGCTGCATCCGGTCCATTGCCTACCACACAGAAAATATGAAATTAAATGAAATATGAGATGAAATATGAAATGAAATGAAATGAAATTAAATTACTCCCCAAAACATGTTCTTAGATATAGCATTGCCTGGTCATCCTGACAGGCCATGACCAGTCCCACAGATCTCATGCAGTCATCCACAACTCTTCCTCAAAACTATGACTTCGGTGTCCTGTCTGCAGAGTGATACAACTTGGGGGAGAAATCACCACCAAAATACATTCAAATACACAGAAATTACAGGTTTCAGTCTTACCTACTTCACTTTTTAAAAGCAAATGTGGAGGAAGAGGTCCCCCCACAGCTGAACTGGAACCAGTGACACCTCTAGCTGCTTCCTGTCCTCCAGTGGGGTTATCACCTGCTGCTGGCTAGGGAAGGGAATGAAGGAAAACCTCAGCACATTGGTGCAGAATAACTCATTTTACTATTTAGCTAGAAACTGTTCAGGAAGTTTAAAGACCTCCAGCAACATCATGAAACAGTTATCCCCAGTAAATATGCAACAGTTACTACTCAGAAGCAATCCAAATAGTAACACAACTGTGAATATTTTAACACTGAACTGCCAAGAAACTAATTGGCAAACTAAAAACAAAACAGCAGTCCTGTTCCCACTGGGTTCCACCTAGGCTGATGAAGCAGGGAGACTGCTTCCACTCAGAAAACTCCTATATCCTCAATGGAGCACTAGAAGATTCTTCCCTCTCAACAGGTAACACATAACTTCATGCTTTATTTATTTCTCTAAACTTGCTGTAATGACAGAGTTATCCTCCTCTTCCTCAGCCTTTAAGTGATAGTCACTGCTGAGTGTTCACAAAACATAAAAAACCAGTGATCCTGTTACACGCCTGAAGCAATTATGGTTTAAAAATGCCAGATTTTCAATGTCTGGTTTGCTATATCTGTGATTATTATTTTTGGGCTTGGTTTTCATTATTTTTAAAGAATTATATATCTTTTTTATATATATATTAGAGCATGGTTTTAAGACTTCACAGTGTCAGGTGTGAGTACTCAGCACGTTGAAAGCCAGGCTGCACCTCAGAGGCACTCTGAATTCTTTCCAGCCTCATCAGCTTTGCATCATTTGATCTGGTAAATACAACATGCAGCTGTATTTGCCACATCATCCTACAACATTCACTTGAACCTGGTAATCTCAAAGGTCTTTTCCAACCTAAATGATCATGATATTCTGTATGTGCCTCAGCCTTCCTCACATTCATCACTGCACAGGGGCACCAGACTGAACTCCAGGGATGAAACACAATGGCAGCACAACAACAGAGTAATCTGTAGTAAGGAGAAAGAGCAGCTTACTCCAAAAGCAGGGATTTCATCCTTCTTCATTTCATTCACCCGCACTAAGTAGTTGATGAAGTCTCGGGCAGCGTTGCTCTGTGCATCCTTCTTGTTGGTAGAGTTGCCCATGCCAACATAGTTGAAGCCTTCCACTCGGACCTGCAAGGAACAACACACTGCTCATGTGCAGATGAAAGGGACTTGGAGGCCAGCAACACCCACAGGAACACCAAATCCTGTCTGCTGAAAAGTACAGGAGAAACAATGTTATAAGAAATAATATAACTAATATTACACATAGGTTTTGAAAAACAAACCCCCACATTTTGATAACTTCTTCTCTCAGAGCACAAGCGCTTCCCAAAACCTTGTGGAAGAAGAAAAAAGAATGTAGAAAGGGCAACACACAGCAAACTCTGCACAAGGTCGCTTTCCTCAACCTAAATCCCAAACTCTTGGGGATTTTCACAAGCGTGACCTTGTGTCTACCCAGCCATAGCTCCAAGTTATTCCAACTACACATAAGTGATTTATCTCTGATTTTTTTGTTTACTTTAGACAATGGTACCTCTAACCACATAGTAACCATACAGGATTCACAGCCATCCTACCAGGCTGCAAAAATCAGCAAGAAAGATGTTTCAGTGAGACTGATCCTTTCACTTGTAAAGCTTCCATGGATAATCATGGGGCATCAACATATCAAACCCAGTACAATACTTATATATTGTATTGTACAATACTATACACAATATGTATAGCGTGACTTTTTACAAAAAGCATGGAGTGACAGAACAAGGGGGAAAGGCTTCACACCGACAGAGGGCAGGGTTAGATGGGATATTAGGAAGGAATTATTCCCTGTGAGTTTGGTGAGACCCTGGCACAGGTTGCCCAGAGAAGCTCTGGCTGCCCTATCCCTGGAAGTGTTCAAGGCCAGGTTGGATGTGGCTTGGAGCTTGGGATAGTGGAAAATATCTGTCCATGGCAGGGGGTGGAACTGGATGAGCTTTAAGGTCCTTTCCAACCCAAACCATTCTATGATTCTGTGAATATATCTATTCATACAACCATTCCATCTGAGTATTGCTTAACCAGTTATAATACTTTGAAAATTGCTTTAATGCCACTGTGTTTCTTTGTTTCCTTACTGACACAGAAGACAAACACGGGAGGGAAGAGTAAAATGACAAAGTTAATTTGTTTAGTGCAAATCCATGCCATCACTCATGAACTGATCTGTTCTACACATGGCCTCACACTTAGTGGCAGCTACCTGTCAGAGCCAACCTGAACTCACAGCTCCCACATCCCAAATACCTACAGGCAGGAGTAAACTACTATTAGAGCAGTGCAGAGTAGCAACCATTCCAACAAGAATTCTTTAATACATTTCAACTCAAGTTCAAGAGCAGACCAAAGCTGTTGCCAAAGGTGACATACACTATCCCTCACCAGCTATTTTAACTGTAAGAAGGGTCACACACAGTGCAGAGACACACACCACCCTTAAATAAACCAACCCGTTTTCCCTGTAAGAACATAATTCAGGCTTCTTCCCTCCTTTCACTCATTTCACACCGTGCACACGCAGCCAGGACACTCTGGCTAAAAGCCTCAGCCCTCCGCAAGCCCTGGGCTTCCATGATTTCCCACTGAGGCCGGGCAGGACCCAGACCCCGGTGCTGACCCCAGGCTCCTTCTGGCAGAGCCCAGGCCACGGCAGCACCCGCAGCAGGGCCCAAGGCTCCCTGTGACAGAGCCGCCAGACCGCCTCCCACACCCCCGGCACTGATCGCACGTTCCCTGGGGCAAAGCCCCGGCTCCGACCCCTGACAAAGGCCAGAGCCCGTCAGGAACCCCCGATCCCCGGCAAGGCCCCACACTGCCTTTGAGTGTGCCCTCAGAGCCGCTGGCAGAGCTCCTGGCCCCTGCTGGCGGCACGGCCCGAGGTCCCTCTGGTGCAGCCCGGGTTCCCCGTGCCTCCAGCCCCGCAGCACAGCCCCCAGGTCCCGGACAGAGCCCCGCACCACGCCCAGAGCTCCGGCGGAGCCCTAAGCCCCCTCACAGCTCCCCGCCCGCAAAGGGGCCGGCCGCTGCCCGGCGGGGCAGGCCCGCACCTCGCACAGGAAGGTCTGCCGGCCGCGGCCGCCGGCGGCGCGGATCTCGTAGGCCGGCATCACCCTCCTCCGGCCGCACCAGGCGTACAGGTAGTTCTTCACGTCCCCCATGGCGGGGCCGCTCCGGCCGGCGCCGGGCCCGCGGCAGCCCCGCGCGGCAGCGCCTGCGCGGCACAACGGCGGCCGGGAAGGGCCGGGCGGGTTCCCTGCTCCCGCCCCCCAGCGCCCCTCCGCCCGGCTCTTCCCTGAACCATCTTCTTAGCTTACTGCTGAATAGAGTGTGCTTCTCCAGCGGTCAAATGATTCAATTTAAACAAGCATTCTTTTTCAGTGCTCTCGGTCTTTCTGAGAGACTTCTTTGCAAATGAATGTTTAATACACTGGAATGAGTGAAATAAAACGGCTCAGAGGCATAACTGATTTCAGGGAGTTATGCAGGAAACCATCCTTTAGGGATATTTGGGATCACGATGTTGGTGTGACTGGTGTGCTACTGAAGTTAGGATGTAGATAAGAAGAGGGGTCAAAAAGCCTCCAAGTAATGTCTTGCACTTCCAGCTCACTCCGGAGCAAATCAGCAGGGATCTGAGAAGTGATTTCATGTACCGTCTGGAGCAGGACCAGGAATTACAGAGGGTAAGTGTGTGTCCTGTGACCTGTCATCCTTGTGCTGGGCTCTTGATTTTCCAGAAGGGCTTGAATGTAACAAGTGTACAAGGCTGGATTTCAGCACAAACACACAGCACGTTTTCAGAAGTGCTGGATGTTCCACTGGGGTGGATGCGTGGGTGAGGAAAAGGTACAAACTATGACCTGTTCTTTGTCAGTTTTTCCTTTGGGTAATGGAAACGTGTAGAAAAGTGAGGCAAAGTATAGATGTGCAGCAGAACAGGCTGATTTTTGGAGATTTTGGAAGTGCCCTGTGTGGGTCTCAGATTCAGACAAAGAGAGAAACGGAGTTTCTAGCCAGGCAGAAGCCTGGGAAAGAGTTGGAGAAGAATGTAAATAATTCTTTATCTCTTGTTGTTCACATTGTTTATAGTTAAGTTCTATCACTGTGCATCAAGCACTCTGCACCAATGGTGTAGGTTGTTTCCACTTCAGGACCACTGGAATTGTTCCTCACTAAGCTCTGTATAAAAGAGCAGTGCATTTGAATAAACCAAAGTTTTACTTTCAGCACCCTTCTGAGTCAGTCTTATCATTCCCGTCCTGCCTCGACAGCGACAGCTCTGGACTTTTTTTTTCCAGATCCAAGAAGAAAGAGGCTTTACCTCTGAAGAATTTTGAAAGTGAAATTCTGTATGCAATCCAATCCATCACAATTCTGTTGTTGTCATCCGTGGTGCCACTGGTTGTGGCAAAACCACTCAAGTGCCCCAGTACATCCCGGATCTCTCTTCCCTCATTCCAGCCACCCTGCAATCATTGTTTTCATGAGGAGCAGTCAGGGCATGGGACCCCTCATGTTTCAGCCACAGGGATCATCAGCATCCCGAGCCAAAGTCCAAAACGTGAGTATTCGCTTTACTCAGCGCGCCGGGACCACTCCTCCTAACGGCGCGCACCCAGGCACATGGCACATTACAATATATGGTTATACTATGCATATTCATTGTTTTCCTTGGAAAAGGTGTGGTTTTGCAAACTCAGAGTTATTGTCATTAGCACACGCGCGGCGCTGGCGCAGTGCGCCCTGCTGGCTGCACTGAGGGAGGCTCCGCATCCTCCTCGGCGCTCCTGTGGCGAAGGCTGGACGTCTTCCTCGCCCTGCCCTTTTCACCTTTCTCCTCTTGGCACGGGCAGCCTCTTGTTAGCTGTTTCAGCGATTTCCTCACTGGTTTTAGCAAGCTTTGTCCTTCGCTTTATGCAAGTTTTGACCCCGGTTTCTTGCCAAATTTCATTCTGTGTATTTAGCTTGTGGCTTAATATTTGCTAGCTTCTATACTGCCTACGATGTAGGTTATTCTTGCCCAAATATGCCTAGGCACAATGCTTTTAACCCTTTCAGGAGCAAGTCCAGAAAAAGCCTTGAGGATGCTCCATAGGCTGGAGCCCCTCTGCTCTGGAGGCAAGGCTGGGAGAGCTGGGGGTGTTCAGCTTGGAGAAAAGAAGGCTCAAGTGAGACCTCAGAGCCCCTTCCAGTGCCTAAAGGGGCTCCAGGAGAGCTGGAGAGGGACTTGGGACAAGGCCTGACATGACAGGACAAGGGGGAATGGCTTCCCACTGCCAGAGGGCAGGGTTAGATGGAATATTAGGAAGAAGTTCTTCCTTGTGAGGGTGGTGAGGCCCTGGCACAGGGTGCCCAGAGAAGCTGTGGCTGCCCCTGGATCCCTGGCATGTCCAAGAACAGGTTGGATGGGGCTTGGAGCAACCTGGGACAGTGCAAGGTGTCCCTTCCCATGGCAAGAGATGGAATGGGATGATTTTAAGGTCCCTTCCATCCCAAACCATTCTAGGTTTCTATGATTCTATGCCTTCCTAACCTGCATGACAGCATTCTGCACTGCCACATGGAGGTACACAGCTCAATTGTGGCTTTATTTCTGTCCTAAGGAAAAATAAAAGGGAGAAATACCTGCTTATTAGTGATCCAAAACCTGCTGTCACAAAAGGGATTTCTTTTTTTAATTTTGCATTAATGTTTATAAACACAGAGATCAGACAGAAGCAGGATTTTACATGCACAGAAAATGTCCCAGCGACTCTGATGAACAGATACCAGCCTGAGCAACCTGATGGTGTCATACTGTTGTTTAAACCCACAATGTAGTGTCCTCATGGAGAGGACAAAACACCATCCACCTGAGAGGGGGTAGAGACAGATTTTCCTCATTTCTATGCAAAAGTCATCAGCTCTCTCCTCCAACTGTGAAAAGTTTGCTATTTTTTAATTAAACAATCCCAGTCAGTCCTGGAAGGTGCAGAGCTCCAGGGGAGCAGTGTAAAATGTCAGGCCACATGTGCCCCAGCAAAGCCAGCCCTAAGAGGAAGGAGCTTGGGCACACTGCCAGTTCCCTGAAAGAAATCCTGCCCATCATGTGGGGGATGCATCATATGGCAGAGAATCCCATATACCAGAGACAAGAAACCTCCAGATCAACAAGGAAGTGTACAAACAGCACTTGAGGATGTGGCTTAGTGGTGGACTCAGGAGTGTCAAGTTATTGGTTGGACTTGATGATCTTGGAGGTCTTTCTCAACTGTAATGATTCCATGACTCCATGATCAGTCACCATTAGGCCACACAATGCTGTCCAGCTTGGCTTTGGCCTTGATGACAAACTCACTGGAGGCATCAACAAGTGGAAGCCGTGGAGGTCCCATGGGAATGCCAGAAACAGAAGTCATTAGAGCTTTAGTCTGTGCAACACCAAAACCTGGGCAGACAAAAGCAAAATCAGGACATTTGCAGACCACTTTCCTTAAGGCAGCCTCAATACAGGTGTCCAAAAGAGCAGGAGTACAGAGTTTCTGTGTAATCCAGCATCAACCAGGCTTCAAGCACTTCTTGGAAGTGAGAACAGGGTAATTGAAAAGAGGTAACTGTGCTTGCAGACAGGAATGACACTGCAGTAAAAATTACACCTACTTAGTACATTTATTCACATATAAGCATCCTCTGATGCAGACTCACAGAATTCACATCATGACTGGGTTGGAAGAGACCTTCAAGATCATTGAAGGGGTCCCATACCCCAACACCTCAAACTAAACCCTGGCACTGAGTGCCACATCCAGTCTTTTTTTAAACACATCCAGGGATGATGACTCCATGACCTCCCTGGGCAGAGCATTCCAGAACTTTTTCTAGCAATCATTCAATTTTAAAATGTTTTGGCCTTGTACAGCCTTCAACAAAATTTCTGTTTAATTACAGCAAGGCTACTCTTCTACTTGGGCACCACCATTTCAGAACAATTATTTTAGAAATAAAGCTGGAAATGAGCTTCTGGAGATGGAAGAAAAAAAAACTAACAAACAAACAAACAAACAAAAAAACAACCCACAGAAAGAGTCAGGATAAGAACAAGGGTAAATCACAGAGTCACAGCTTTAAACCTCTGAGATTTCACAGCAGAAGGAAGGAAGGGAGAGTGGAATCTGTCAGGGATGCTTGGTCAGCTCCCTTTGTTGAGCTTCCAACTGCTACTACATTGGGAAACAGCAGATGCAACAGTTTTTCACTGCAAAATCTTTCAGGAAGGAAGTTCTAAGAGTACAGCAACATGAGAGTTTGAGAAGCAGAAAGTTTGCACTTTTAGACACAGTGAGGGAAACGGGCAGTGTTTACCTAGTTTACTTACCCAGTTTGATGACAAAGTTGAGAAATTCCCCAGTGAGAAACTAGAAAAGACCAACAGTAATTTATTAATACCCTCTAATTTAGAGATGTAAAACCATCTAAAGCTACTAAATTTATATCTTATATCATTGCATGGATGAGATTAGTGTTGAAGGGTAAGTGGTTAAAAGGTCTTGGTTAAAAGGTAGTGAGGAACGGTGAAAAAAGTGAGGAGGCATGAATAACAAAAAGGGGAGTTGGAGATGAAAGAATTTTTCTTTAATAAAGCTGCCTCAGTATGGATGAGAGAACCACATGGAGAATAGCCACAATAAAGCTCAAAGAGAAAGAAGGTTGCTCCCAGGGAGGCCTGGGAAGATGCTGTACCTGATACTGCTGTGCCAAGGCAAAGTCTGGCTTTGCAAAGGCTTGCAGCATCAGATTGGTTTGTCGGCCCAAATAGTTGTATGTACTGTCAAAAAAACAAACCAAAAATAGAATTGGTAAATGCAAAGAAGGAACTTAAAACTAGTGAAACAAAAGAAGTAACCACAGGCTTTTGCTGTTGACATTGTCATTATTAGGAGAGAAATTAATGGAATTTATGTGGGGTGCAATCTAATGTCAGGCATCTGAAGTATGCCAAGCTCCCTGGAAGAATTAAGAGAGCCAATTTCTCTTCCCAGTTCTTTCCAAATGGAATTGCTTTCCAAAGCTAAAAATAAAAATACATCATCAGGCAATAAAGAAAGTCAACCACTTAATTTTCCAGTTGCTTGTTCATGTAATGGATTGCCTAGATGAGAACACAGGTATCACACGGTAATTCATCTCATCAGGCTGATATGAGGGGCAGAGGTTAAATTAAAAATTAAATTCAGCATAGCCCTTTTCTTCACAGACTGCTCATGTGAATTAACAATTTTAACCTCTGGGATTCGGTTCCTTACCCAATGCAGATAGAAGTGATAACATACTTTAACAGTTGCCACGAGGATAAAAAGCACATTGAAACCTTGGGTCAGCTTAGAACCCACAGCAATGATCACCCAAAGGAACATAATCTGAGATCCTGGGTTACATGATTGCCCCATCACTAGGACTGGGGCTAGATTGTGTGTCTGTTTGCCTCTGTACATCCCTATCCTGCAAAATCCTCCATTGCAGTGACTGAATACTGTCAAGGAAATACTATGCAGATAGTGGAAGATTAAACAGCACAGTGTATGTGTGAGGGGAGGGAGTCCAAGCCATACTGACCTTCCCACTGCTCCACTTGCCCCTAGTGCCAGTGCACCCAACAGTTGCTAGTTTGGGGTAGAGGGAGAAAAAAAAAAAAGTAAAAAAACATTACTTCATGTAATAAAATAAAGGAGAAAAAAGGGTGGTGGGAGGGAGCAGCAAAACTGCCTCGTACTGAATATCCAGGGTTACTTTTTCCCCAAGGCTGAAGCAAGAGAGTACCTTAGAAGAAATTACTTTTAAGAGAAGCTTCTTACCTCATCCACCCCATAAAGAAATTCAAACTCCCCTGTTTCATTCTTGTGTATGCACTGTGCCAGGTCCAAGAGGTCTGTGTCACTGAACTTCACACCCTGGAAGGTGGGGATCTGTGCTTTTATCCCATCCAGCAACTCTTCCACACGAACTGTGCAGAATAGCAGTCTCATATGAGGGAACACAGGCCTGTACTGGGACAGTACCCTGTCTTGTCCCCAAGAGAAAGACTTCATATTTTACAAGCTGTTCATTTTCAGCCTAAGTCCAGTAAACTATACAGCTCTAAAACAACAAGTAAGACAACAAAGAGTAAGACTCTTTTACCAGATCAGAAAAAGTTTAGGAATGAACTGCCAACAACACATTTAAGACTCAATATAAACCCATGCATTCAGAAACATACAAACTGCCTTCCAGAGCAAATAACTAAAGATCTGTACTCTGTACTTACTCTTCACACCTGTCAGAGGAGGAATGTGATAATAATAAAATGGCACCTCAGGGGCTTCCGATGCAACCTTCTGTAAGAAAGCAACCAGCTCATCTGGAAGGAAACCAGCAGGGATCCCGTAAGAGAAGGAGACCATCCATAGGGAGACACAGTTCAGATTCACAGCACGGGGGCTGCGGAGAGGGCTCACCTTGTGCATACACACAGCAAGTCATACAAAACCCTTCACATGTCATAAAACATTAAATGTGACATAAATCAGGGAAGACCTTAAGAAAGGTAAATACATATTTCCTTTAAACCAAACCAGTTTCAGTAGCTCCTATTCATTTTCTTACATGTGTAACTCAGGCATGCTCTCACATGTGCCAGA